GTTATCATGGAACCTTCAATGTGGCACTTCCGTGCCATTCCATGAAAAGCGGCGTATGGTCCCCAAGTAATAAAAAGCGTGTGCCCTAAACGAGAAAACAATTGGCGGAACTAAATAAAATGGAATTTTGAAAGGGGATCAGAGGTTATGAAGCCTGCGTATCACAGATAAGACGTCAAAAGACAAATTTAAAAAGCAGGCAACATATCCTAAGGGTGATTCAACATTATTCAAGAAGGAATATTGGAACCACCCATATAGAAAATGCCGAAAAGTTGAAACTAAAAATACCACAAGCACAACAATAATGTTGTGCTGAACGATCATCAAGGATCGAAAATAGAACATCATTGATTAAATGTACGGGGAGACTTTTTACAGCCGCCACAAGGCACAAATAACACGGGTGTGATCATAAAATAGATGTAAAATAGATAAATACAGAATCCCTAAAGAAAGCCCAACACGGCAAAATTGAAAATGTTGCAGGCTCGGTTTGATGAGGCTCGGTGCTAGGGGGCGTGGACGGTAACTTGCACTTTCCAGTACCGTCCATGAACAGGCTCAATCAAACCGAGCCTGCAACATTTTCAATTATGCCGTGTTGGTCTTTCTTTAGGGATTCTGTATTTATCTATTTTTTGATTGAGCCTGTTCATGGACCATCCAAAACCATCCAAAATGTGCCATAAACAGTTTCAACCTCATATATCAAATTTTCTCGGTCTATGGGACGGGACACCCCTCCCAGGCCCACCCCAATTACATATATTATTCTAAATTCCATAGCATCTTAATGTTTATGAAAATATTAGTATACAAATATATAAGCGAAAAAGCATAGCCACTCATCAGATGAGCTTTAAAACACATCAATTACAATTTATTGTCAAAATTAACAAGACATTGGGCTTATTTTCACATGTTGCATTATTTTTGTCAAAATCTTCCACCAATATGTCAGCCCCCCCCCCCTCCGGAAACCATATTCTGTATCCGCCCCTGTTAATCGTGCAATATAACGACGTTTCTCACAAACGCGTGCTGTTTTTGCGATTCCGTTGGTATTTATTTTGACGTGACGTCATTTGCGATAAGACGCGCTATGTGTTAGCGTTTCATTATAGGCGCGCCATTGAAAGAAAAGTGATTATTTTTCAATTTAAACACCCGATCTTTATTTTGTTGCTGGGTCATATGGGGGACCCGGTTGCGTTCATTGAACGCCGCCTTTCCTTGTTGATCTTGTTTTTCATATTTGGGTATGTAAAGAATATAAAAATCGTGTAAGTTCATTACTGCATTTATTGAACTCGTTGAATAAAATAACATGATGCTCGCATAAGATAATTTTATTTAACTAGTTCAATAAATTCAGTATTGAACCGCCATATGAACACATCTGCGGATGTTTCAAAATTCTAAATTTTACCAGTTCATGTTAAATGTTGAATTCTGCTTAAGCCGGTGCTAGGGGGCGTGGACGGTAACTTGCACTTTCCAGTACCGTCCATGAACAGGCTTAATCAAACCGAGCCTGCAACATTTTCAATTTTGCCGAGTTGGGCTTTCTTTAGGGATTCTGTATTTATCTATTTTACACTAATTCAATATCATCTATGAACATGTACTGTAAAGGAAAAATTAAGAACAATTTCATTAAGCTATAGGAAACGTTATTACTCTTTTTGGGGTACGAATTTTGCTTAAAAAGGTAATATCATGAAATAAATCTCTTTTTATTAGGTTAAAATGTCAAGGGTAACACGAAGTGAAGATATATAAATCTAAATAATTCTATCGCAATTGTCCACAACTTGAGAGAAACATTTTTTTCTAATTTGTTCCGATCTGCTTCGCTGCAATACAAAAAAGAAGATAATTTAATTTAGTTAAACATTTTCGGCAAGAAAAAAAACATCAGTAGAACATTTAGTAGTGTATGGTGTGCATTGTCGAAAAGAATGATCGAAAATTCCAATTTTCGAGGTGAACTTTTCCTGAACATTTCTAATCCACTTCACCGAAATACATATGAAACAAATTAACAAATAAATTTGGTTGTACACATTTCAGACAGAAAATTATCGGCTAATTTGGACATTCGGAAATATACCTCGTGAAGGCCTCAAAGTTTACGCAGTAGACAAATTTGACGTCCTTCTGTAATTCCAGTTGAAGATATACGTTAGTATGCTATCAAAGGCCAGACAATTGTTCGAAATTATTTCTAAATATTTCCGATCAGCTTCACTCAAAAAAAAAAGAAAATAATTACAGTTGAGTATACAAAATGCACTGGTTTGCATAACATATGAACCAGTGATGCACTTCAATGTGTCCCTAAAGTGCACTTTAATGTGCACAGTGTTTTAGTTTTTGTGCACAGCATTTTTTTTTATCTTAACAAAAATATAATAATTTGTAATTTTCAAAAACAAAAGCCGAATAATAAAAAATAAGAAACAGAATTGATATCTCGGATATGTTACTATAATTATTTATTATTTCAACATATTCTATTCTAAAGAACATGTTTTAAATTATCATTTGCTTAATCTTATTGATAAATTTTACTATTTTGTCCTATTTTTCCAATCAATAAAATATAACTCTGATTTTTATGTTAAAAATGGTAGAAAAAATAGCAAAAGTAAATTGATTTTCATTGTAATTATCAGATTACGTTAGAACTGAAATGCCAAATGGACAGTAGTTTTTTTTAACCGATGATACAAATAAGTTGATGTACTCTTTTCTTTTTAATATTTGTGTTTTCTTTATATAATTTTAGAAATGACTTGGCTGATTTTTATTTGTTACTTGCAATAAAAGTTCTGCTCTCTTCTGATAATTAATTGTTTTCTGATAATTAATTGTTGTCTCCTAATTTTTAAATTTCTTTGTACGAGTATATCAATCTTATGCTCAAACTGAAATTGACAAGGATATGCAAGACCTATTATAATAAAACTATTTCCCTCTCAAAACCATGAACTGATTGTGATGAACAGTATGCATCTCGTATAATTGTGTTAGTTAGTATTTTATGTAATAAATAACTTTGTCATACTCCAAGTTAAAATACAAGCATTTAATTTACACAAACACTTACCAACTATACAGTAACTTAACACACAAGTCTTTTAAGGGTGTAGTGAATTGGTAATATTAATGAAACGGCCTGTGATACCTGTAATAATGAAAGGCCTGTGATACCATAAATAATCATGTTGTTAGTATTTAGCATCATACTTGACCTATATATGGATACCGTTTGTAAGTATGAGATACATGATCTGATATGACATTATGGAATCTATATATAGCAGATAATTAGTTGTTCTAGAATAGAATTAATTCACATAAATAATCATACTAAATCACTTAAAATCATATGAACATTTTTTTCAAGAAAAAATTAATAGCAATACAAGAATGTATCCAAATGGCACATTTCTATTGTTTTTATAAGTATTCTAAATGCTTAAGGAAAAATATGTGCTCGTTGTAGACCAACCCACTTCAAATTCTTTCACAGGCGTTATAAAATAAATGTAATTTAATATAAATTATGAGAACCAACATTTCAGTGGCTAATGAAAACATACTGGTTTACACATTCTCAGCAGCAAAATTTTCAGTTTACGCAATAAAATGTGTATAGTTAACACAGAGAATTACTGAAGGGCTGGCGGACCGTACCAGGGTGGACCGTATGTTTAGACCTGTCCCAAAATATGACCCGTCCGGTCCAAACATACGGTCCTACGACCAACAGAAAGCATTTTAGAAATCTTCCAATCCAAAAGATTTTTTTTCTTCTTGTCAGTTAATTTGACAAAAAATTAATGTTTTCATTTAAAGAAAATAAATAAAAATGGTATTCGTTAATCAAGAAGCAATTAAATGTTATTATTTCAAACACGTGCATGAATGTTTACCATATCTATCAACCAACAGTAAGTTTCATATACCTGGCCTGTAATTACTGGAATGAATATTCATTTGGCTCAACATTAAAATAAAGCTGAGATATCCATGATGGCGTCAAAGGTGGCGCAAAATCAAATCCCTAAATATTCTAGAATATGCATGTTGGCTAAAGTTCTCTTTTCAGTTTCTGTATATCAAAGTCTTTTTTTTATAAACATTTCATATTTAGGTTTATTGGCAATTGGTCTAATTCTTATCACCAACTGTATATTGTGTTCATGGGTTTGAAAATACGTGAATTCTTGAATGACATAATCTAAGGGGAGAAATTACGCACGACCAATGGTTTTTGTAAACGGAGTTATCTCCCTGAGGCAAGAATAAGAGCCGCTCAAGCCGGTGGTAGGGGTGTGAGGGATATGTTGCAATTTTATTTTCTGTATTCCTCATGTACAAACTCAATCAAACCGGCCGAGTCTGCAATGTTCATATTATTTTGGTGTGATTAATGCTTGCGAGTGATCACCCTTCCTCGAGATTTCCTATAATAGTCTTCACAACAGCAGGTGTCGAGTGTCGTGTGGCAGCTGTAAAAGTTCAACTTCATTTCAGATTTGTTATATTTTCTGGTCCTTTGGATCATTGATTCCAACACTTTTTGAGGGAGTACCTTTATTTAGTTGTTTTTTTTCGAATTTGACGTTACTTTACATAACAATATGAATTCTTGAGACTTCATATAACAGAATATAATATTTTAAAATAAAAGACTGTTGAATCAACAGCACAATATGCCTGGTTTCCATTTGGCATTTTTGGCACCATAGTTTGCATACTATTCGTCTGACAAAGTAAATATGTTATGTAATATCTCTGATGCATATCATCTGATTATTTCAAAGATATTGAAATATTTCTCATTTTCATAGCCAGATTGTACACTGTAATAATTTAATTTTAGTATTTTGGTAACTGAAAACCCTGTAAATATTGATAGACACAGCATACAATGTCCATCATCTATGAACTTAATTAAGGGTTAAAAATAAAGCAAACAACACATATTACGTTTGAATATAATATTTTAATCGCAATGTTAAATAGTTATATTCCAAAAATTCTTTTATCTCTGTTCATCTATTGTCCTTTATCTGTAGAATTATCTGAAATAAAATTAATTAATAAATCGTAAGAAATCTGCGATTGTTGTTTACACATTACCATAGACTTTAAGCGAATGATAAATGAATATAATGCATACGTTACACGTAATTCTAACACGACCCGCATTTTTCCCTATTGAACATAGAAGAACAGTGTTATTATGCAACAGATGCACAGTTTGACGTTCTATATTTAGACATGTGACGTTATCATTATACACGTGACGTAACCACTAAAAATCCAACGCGCTGAAAATAAGTACGGAAACAAATCAGGCGCAATTTTGCTTAACTATCAAGTACGGCAACATTTATTTGTTGATGTCGTGTTAGAATCGAAATAATATATCCAAATCAGTGATTTTATCGCTTGATAACATCACTGTTTGTCGTTCGGATGCGCATCATTATATCACTCGGGCTACGCCCTCGTGATATAATTCCTCGCATCCGAACTCCAAACAGTGATGTTATTGAGCGATAAAATCACTGTTTGGGATATATTATTTCTTAAATTAAATAAGTCAAAAGGTTTTCAGTAAAAAATATTTCATCAAATAATGAAAAATTATATACAGCAGGTCTCATGTTTCATAAAAAATAAAGTTTTGTTTTAAGATAGTATTTATTAGTTACCTTGAATGAATTCCACTTCTGCAATAGACAGACAGTATTCCAAATGGCGAATCATCGTCATCGTCATCAATGATTACTTCAAGTTCTTCAGTTTGAACCTCAACTTGTTTACTGTCGTTCTTCTCCATTGTCTCAACATTATCAAAGAAGACTTTTCCGGGTGTATCATCATGTTTTTCTGGCTTCAATTTGTGCTTGTCCAAATCTTTTACGGCAGGATACTTGGTGTTCGAATGCGATGATGTGATCGCCACATTACCAAAGCAGTCGTTTTCGAATAAATCAACGTGTTTGAATGGCTTTTTGAGTCGCGTTCATTGAACGCCGCCTTTCCTTGTTGATCTTGTTTATCATATTTTTTAATTTAGAACTGTCCAAATCTTTTACGTCAGGATGTTTATTGTTCAAATACGATGATATTGTTATCATGTCCATATCTGTGGTTAAACATTTATTTTTCAATGAAGTCGTAGCTGTCAGAGGTACCCATGGCATTACACCTTCTCTTCCAAAATAGAGTATAGAAGTAAAATATAAACCAAATATAGACAGTGTTCTTGTGCATGGAACTTTATTGTAACGCAAGGCGAGGCTGAATATTCGTTTAAAGTCAGAAAATATGATAAACAAGATCAACAAGGAAAGGCGGCGTTCAATGAACGCAACCTCCACATGACCCAGCAACAAGAACCAATGGCAAGGAGCCCAGGGGGACCCCAAACAAAAACAGGACAGGGCAAAGACAGAGCACGGACAGGTTAATCATTAAATGATAACTAATTTGTAACTGATTAGGAACCCAAAGAAAACAACAATAGGCCCACAAAGGGGAAGGGGACAGGAGACCGTGGGAGGGGGCGGGGAGTAATCAAAGAAACAAAAACTAGAGGCAATGGGAAGACACTTACCGTAGACGAGAAAACAACAAGGGACACAAGCAAAAGTGTCACCAAAACAGTATGAAACAACATAAGACATACATGCTGAGGAACACAGTGGGGCGCCGCCTTGGAACGGTCAGCAGCATAAATAATGACTGCTGGGGAGTTTAAACGGTTAATGGTGCACCAAACCTCGCTCTTAGCCCCCACCATGTTCCTATAACGAGACAGTGTAAATAAAATGAATCCCCGCCAAGTGAAATTCTAACAGTTGTCATGGTTACAAAAGGTTTAAATAAGTAAAACACTAAAATGATCATGTAGAAACATATAAAAGTAAACCCAATGCCATAACAAAAGTACTCAAATGTCCTAAAGGAAGACAGAGCAACAAGAAAATCACTACAAGGGCCCGACGAAGCAAGGCAGAAGACGAACATTAAGACAATTCAGTCCCAAAGGGCTTTTACGAACTATCCATCATAGAGTCTCCCCTTGGTCCGTCAGATGCAATCAAAAGAGGAAAGCGTAGTGTCCAACTGTAAAAAGGGGTTGAACACTAAACCTGCAGTATGTCTTAAAATAGTAGGGTCATAACCTCTTTTAATAAAACGTTTAATGATTTTAGTAAAAACAGCAGAAAAATTACCATGACCAAAATCTTACGAAAAGTTTGTAAATCACATCGCCATAAAAACCAGGCTGGCCTAATCCCTTGTCGCAGAAGAGTTTTTAAATCACACGTATTGAATTTGGAAATTAAATCAAAGTTACGATTGTAAAATTTAGTAAAATATTTCCGTAATTTATGATAGCGGTAGCCCTGTTTTAGAAGCTTGCTGGTAATAAAAATATTTCGCTCGTTGAAATCCTTTACGTTGCTACAAGCTCTAGCGAATCTAATTAACTGGGAAACATAAAATAGATCAATACAGAATCCCTAAAGAAAGCCCAACACGGCAAAATTGAAAATGTTGCAGGCTCGGTTTGACTGAGCCTGTTCATGGACGGTAATGGAAAGTGCAAGTTAACGTCCACGCCCCCTAGCACCGGCTTAAGCAGAATTCAACATTTAAACGTGAAATAGTAAAATTTTGAATTTAGAAACATCCGCAGATGTGTTCATACGGCGGTTATCATGGAACCTTCAATGTGACACGTTAGTGCCATTCCATGAAAATCGGCGTATGGTCCCCAAGTAATAAAAAGCGTGTGCCCTGAACGAGAAAACAATGGGCGGAACTAAATAAAATGGAATTTTGAAAGGGGATCAGAGATTATGAAGCCTGCGTATCACAGATAAGACGTCATGTAAACCCCGTAAGATGTTGCATGGGGTACGTCTCCATCTAAATGTGGATAATTAACTATACAAAAGTCAAAGTCATCTCTTTTATCATAGATTTTCGTGTGAATAGAATTGTTGTTGATAGTAATATGAAGATCCAAAAATGATGTACTAAAATTTGAAGAGTTCGTTTTATTAAGTTGTAGTTCATGCGGATAAATGTCAGACACCATTTGATCAAAATAAGGATTATCTAAATTAAAAATATCATCAAGGTATCTGGAAGTATTATTAAATGCGACTATAACATCTTGTTGTTTATCTTCAGAGAGACTCAACATAAAGTCTCTTTCATAGCAGTACAAAAACAAATCGGCGACCAGGGGTGCACAATTAGTACCCATAGGAATTCCTATGATCTGTTTAAATAGGGTATTACCAAACCTGACATAAATGTTGTCTAAAAGAAAAGAGAGTGCTCTACAAACTTCGTCACAGGTCCACATAGTATAATGTTTTACAATACCGTTAGTAAAAAAAGCTTTGTTAGAATTACATGCTAGAAAGGTAACTTTTCCCGTGCAAAAGTTTTCTGAATTAGGGAAATTAGTTTAAGACTTGGAGTTTTTGGTGTCCAGTGTCATTGGTCTTTTTGTCACGGACTTTTGTGTGGTTTCACGACACCTGTTAACAGGAAGATGCTCCCATTTGCTATTGTGATCGCCAAATTTATATTTTGGTTGGATCATTAGAACAGACAGTTCTGCCGGTTTGAATTTCACTTCATAGAACTCTTTGTATATTTGTTTCCAGAATTTTGTACTTCACAACAGCAGGTGTCAAGTGCCGTGTGGCAGCCGTAAAAAGTTGCCCCGTACTTCACTTCAGTGTTGTTATATTTTCTGGTCCTTCGGGAACATTGATGCCAACACTATAAAGTGTTTAGAATTGAGTACCGCTCACGCCGGTGCTAGGGGGCGTGAGGGATGTTGCACTTATTCATTATCCCTCATGTACAGACTCAATCAAACCGAGTCTACAATTCTTATGTCATTTTGTTGTGATTAATGCTTCCGAGGGATCACTTAGTTTCCAGAATTTTGTACTTCAAAAAATAGATAAATACAGAATCCCTACAGAAAGCCCAACACGGCAAAATTGAAAATGTTGCAGGCTCGGTTTGATTGAGCCTGTTCATGGACGATATTGGAAAGTGCAAGTTAACGTCCACGCCCCTAGCACCGGCTTAAGCAGAATTCAACATTTAAACGTGAAAAGGTAAAAAATTTTAATTTAGAAACATCCGCAGATGTGTTCATACGGCGGTTATCATGGAACCTTCAATGTGGCACTTCCGTGCCATTCCATGAAAAGCGGCGTATGGTCCCCAAGTAATAAAAAGCGTGTGCCCTAAACGAGAAAACAATGGGCGGAACTAAATAAAATGGAATTTTGAAAGGGGATCAGAGGTTATGAAGCCTGCGTATCACATATAAGACGTCAAAAGACAAATTTAAAAAGCAGGCAACATATCCTAAGGGTGATTCAACATTATTCAAGTAGGAATATTGGAACCACCCATATAGAAAATGCCGAAAAGTTGAAACTAAAAATACCACAAGCACAACAATAATGTCGTGCTGAACGATCTTCAAGGATCGAAAATATAACATCATTGATTAAATGTACGGGGAGACTTTTTACAGCCGCCACAAGGCACAAATAACACGGATGTGATCATAAAATAGATGTAAAACCATCCAAAATGTGCCATAAACAGTTTCAACCTCATATATCAAAATTTTCTCGGTCTATGGGACGGGACACCCCTCCCAGGCCCACTCCAATTACATATATTATTCTAAATTCCATAGCATCTTAATGTTATGAAAATATTAGTATACAAATATATAAGCGAAAAAGCATAGCCACTCATCAGATGAGCTTTAAAACACATCAATTACAATTTATTGTCAAAATTAACAAGACATTGGGCTTATTTTCACATGTTGCATTATTTTTGTCAAAATCTTCCACCAATATGTCACCCCCCCCCCCCCCCCTCCGGAAACCATATTCTGTATCCGCCCCTGTTAATCGTGCAATATAACGACGTTTCTCACAAACGCGTGCTGTTTTTGCGATTCCGTTGGTATTTATTTTGACGTGACGTCATTTGCGATAAGACGCGCTATGTGTTAGCGTTTCATTATAGGCGCGCCATTGAAAAGTGATTATTTTTCAATTTAAACACCCGATCTTTATTTTGGGTATGTAAAGAATATAAAAATCGTGTAAGTTCATTACTGCATTTATTGAACAAGTTGAATAAAATAACATGATGCTCGCATAAGATAATTTTATTTAACTAGTTCAATAAATTCAGTATTGAACCGCCATATGAACACATCTGCGGATGTTTCAAAATTCTAAATTTTACCAGTTCATGTTAAATGTTGAATTCTGCTTAAGCCGGTGCTAGGGGGCGTGGACGGTAACTTGCACTTTCCAGTACCGTCCATGAACAGGCTTAATCAAACCGAGCCTGCAACATTTTCAATTTTGCCGAGTTGGGCTTTCTTTAGGGATTCTGTATTTATCTATTTTACACTAATTCAATATCATCTATGAACATGTACTGTAAAGGAAAAATTAAGAACAATTTCATTAAGCTATAGGAAACGTTATTACTCTATTTGGGGTACGAATTTTGCTTAAAAAGGTAATATCATGAAATAAATCTCTTTTTATTAGGTTAAAATGTCAAGGGTAACACGAAGTGAAGATATATAAATCTAAATAATTCTATCGCAGTTGTCCACAACTTGAGAGAAACATTTTTTCTAATTTGTTCCGATCTGCTTCGCTGCAATACAAAAAAGAAGATAATATAATTTAGTTAAACATTTTCGGCAAAAAAAAAAAAACATCAGTAGAACATTTAGTAGTGTATGGTGTGCATTGTCGAAAAGAATGATCGAAAATTCCAATTTTCGAGGTGAACTTTTCCTGAACATTTCTAATCCACTTCACCGGAATACATATGAAACAAATTAACAAATAAATTTGGTTGTACACATTTCAGACAGAAAATTATCGGCTAATTTGGACATTCGGAAATATACCTCGTGAAGGCCTCAAAGTTTACGCAGTAGACAAATTTGACGTCCTTATGTAATTCCAGTTGAAGATATACGTTAGTATGCTATCAAAGGCCAGACAATTGTTCGAAATTATTTCTAAATATTTCCGATCAGCTTCACTCAAAAAAAAAAAAAAAGAAAATAATTACAGTTGAGTATACAAAGTGCACTGGTTTGCATAACATATGAACCAGTGATGCACTTCAATGTGTCCCTAAAGTGCACTTTAATGTGCACAGTGTTTTAGTTTTTGTGCACAGCATTTTCCTTTTATCTTAACAAATATAATAATTTGTAATTTTCAAAAACAAAAGCCGAATAATAAAAAATAAGAAACAGAATTGATATCTCGGATATGTTACTATAATTATTTATTATTTCAACATATTCTATTCTAAAGAACATGTTTTAAATTATCATTTGCTTAATTTTATTGATAAATTTTACTATTTTGTCCTATTTTTTCCAATCAATATAATATAACTCTGATTTTTATGTTAAAAATGGTAGAAAAAATAGCAAAAGTAAATTGATTTTCATTATAATTATCAGATTACGTTAGAACTGAAATGCCAAATGGACAGTAGTTTTTTTTAACCGATGATACAAATAAGTTGATGTGGTTCATTCTATAATGTTTGCCAAATTCTTGTCACCCACATGAAAATGTCAGATTTCAGTCATTTATTTGAAATAAATTAAGAAAATTACATATATGATATAAATCATACATATTTTTTTTAATTTCCTGATTAAGAAAAATGTCACTTCATTTATTAAAAAAAAAAAATCATGAATTTTGCATTGCCTGTTATCATTTATACAATTGTCACCCGAGGCGGAGATAATTATATGTAATTAATTTATTTTCAAATATTCTTTTACATTCATAAAAACATATTCATAACATTAAATTAAATTATAGTACATTAATTACAATTTATTTATTAAACATTATATCAGTCAGCAAAATCAAAATTTTACTTGAAATTTTGTCACCAAGTTCTATGTCATTTCCGAAACTTCCCCGTATAATACTGAAATCCGAGTAATAAACAATATAACATAAACAGTTGATTACGTCATTAAAAGTTGTGTACGGCGCGAAATTTTAAACGCGGCCATTTCTCTCCAACAAATGGAAGAACTACACAACGCTGCGGGTAAGTTTACTTTATTTGGCCATATGTTTTTGCATAGTCATTTCCGAATGCAAATTCTGAAATTATTTTTTTGTGTAAAATCTAATTTGTCAGAGACAAAAACATAACATATACTTAAATGATGCCTTGGTACTAATTTAACATAACATATATGCTGATCATATAGACGCTTTTTATCATTTTATAGGATAATGTCATTACCGAAACTGTCATTTCCGAAACGGACAAAATATTGCGGTAATGACGTTATTGTTTCGGTAATGACATTTGTTTTCTTTTGAATGAATTTTCGAGACTTTTTAAAGAAAACAAATATTTTAAAGAAACATTACCTTAAAAAATCTGTAAATTCACTTGTCTTTCAATTAAAATATCTTGAGCTACATTAAAAGGAAACTAATATTATAACATATAACCTTTGTAGATCTTTATAACAGATCGATATTTTGTAGATGTGAAGGTTGATTAAATCTTATTTCAAAATTCACGAAATGAACAGTTATCTTGTTGTGAACTAAACACTTCTTTTTGGATTTGTTTAGCAACAAATAGTGAAAAGATATATACTAAGTCCCGTTTCGGTGATGACATATTAAAATATTGAACAATCTTTCATTTCAGATATAGACCAAAGCATCATTCATGTAAAAGAACTTATCAATAATCTCGACAATTTTATTTGCAAAGACAGAAAAATATCTTCTTGAAGTCAGTAGGCTGGAGGTCTCAGATTCTGTTCATGACAGTATCATTGAACTCAGAGATACATTAGAAGTAAAAGAAAGAACAGCGACATTTATTTTGGAAACAGTTACAGGAATGCCTCTCACAAGCAAAGAAAGATCAGCATTGTGGCGAAAAAGACAGAAGGAGGATCCCACAAAGCACGAACTCTACAAACAACGGGAGAGAGAAAGATATCAAAAGAGAAAAAAAACATGTGAAATAAAACCTATCAATGAGATGTCAGACAGAGACCCAACGAAAACAGAGACGTCACTGGAAGGAAAATCAAAGGTCAAAACGTGAAAAAGATAAACGGATAAAAAAAGCCATGGGGAAACAATTACGCCACCAACATCACCAGATCATTTCTTCCCAGAACAGCCAAATAGAATTCATGAACGCAACAGGTTGAGTGGGCGAAAAAAGAAGAACCGTAACAGATCAAAAGCTTACAGGATCAATTTAAACTTCGAATAATGCTTAATAAGGAACGAAGGCTGAAGAACAAATATAAGAAACGCTATTTCAGATTAATCAAATCAAACAAGGATGAAATTGAACAAAAGGTAGAACATGTTTATGAAACAGAAGCAGACGACTAAACGTGCATTATCTCTTTATTTTCTTCTTGTAAGAAACATGAAGCAGAGATATTCAGGTACAAATACACAAGAGAAGCGCATTGTAAAAAAAACTGATATTCAGAGAAACGGTGCTGAAGAAATATAAGATAGGTTCATATGCTGCAAAGGAAACTGGAATAACAGAAACAAGGATACGACAGAGAGAAAAACCATACCGCCGAATTAAATGTGCTCTGAAAACAAAGATTACTGCCTTCTTTGAAAGGGATGACAACACAAGGATTAAAGCTGGGAAACGATGTACAAAAACGAGACAGAAAATAAAAAAAACAAATTCGACTTCTGAATGATTCCTTGAAAAATTTGCATCAAAAATTCATTTTTGAAAGTAAATCTAAAATAAGCTACAGTCTATTTGCGAAAATGAAGCCTTTTTGGATCATTCAAGCATCTGAAAAAGACCGTCAAACCTGTTTGTGCAAAGTGCATGAAAATCCGACACTTAAAGTAAACAAGCTGTACAGTGAAAATGTACTACAGCATAAAGATCTTGCAAAAACTTATCCAAGATATAACATGCGATATGAAAAACAAAGCTTGTATGTACAGAGAATGTTCTCGATGCAAAGATCTACATATTAAATCTGCCATCGGAAGTGACGGTATAAACCCAGGTAAAATAGTGAACTGGAAAATATGGAAGTCAAGAAGAATAGAAAAAGAAAAATGCAGTAATGGAGAAACTGTACTTTTCAAAGCTTAATGTTACACTTAAAGAAAATGAATCTGGGACACTGACAACAACTTGTTGATGACCTCCAAGTGGACATAGAAAGGCTAGCAAGACACCAATTTAATATCAACCATCAATTTATCATGCTGAAAAAAACTTAAAGAGACATGCAAAGGAAATGAACTTATTTTACATGTAGATTTCTCTGAAAACTATCAGTGTAAATATCAAGAAGAAATTCAAAGTGTCCATTTCGGGGCTTCTAAGAAGCAAATTTCGATACACACAGGCGTTGCATATGTGCATAATACAACACTTCCATTTGTCACAATATCTGACAATCTTAGCCATGGTCCAGCTGCCATTTGGGCTCACTTAGAACCGCCAATTAAGTTTATCAAAGAGAAGTATCCTTTGATCAATAAACTACATGTCATATCAGATGGACCAACTACGCAATATCGCTGTAGAGCAAATTTCTATCTATTTTCAACAAAACCAAAAGAACTTTATATCCCTGAAGGTGGTTCGTGGAACTTCATGGAGGCAGGGCACGGAAAGGGTGCTCCTGATGGGATAGGAGCGGTAGTTAAAAGAGCGGCTGATACTCTGGTAAATACCTATAGACGAGACATCACATGCTCTGCCGATCTTATTGAAGGTAAATTAACTTGAGAACAAATGACATTTATATATAACAATATGCACTGCATATTATAATTGACATTCATTATTATGCAAAGTAAAAAATACTAGTAAGAATATAAGACTATAATTTTTTTTTATTCAGTAACAGTTTTTTTATATGTATAAAAAGAAACATAAAGAAGAAAAAAAATCAAAAGAACGTCGTATTTTTTAGATAATGTCCACATTAAATTCCTTTTTTTTGTCAATTACATGTACTAGCGATTTATCATCATTAGTAATACACATGAAACTTTACATTTTCAGGACTGTTGATGTTGAAAACAAGTGTTTCGGCTTTTGAAGTAAAAGATGAAGACATAACAAATATAGAGCGCAAGATTCCTTCTACTATTATTTCTGTTCGAGATACAATGAAAATCCACCAGGTACTTTAAGAATGGCATTTTTTATGAATTTTTGAATGATACATGTAATATGACCTGAAATATGTTAAAAATACAAATAAACAAAAAATCCGAAAGTGTCAAAAGTATCTTTATTTACAAAATTTTACGAATGTTTATGATAATAAATTACAAGAAATAACTTTTAAAGATAACTTCTGTAGTTTCATCACACATGATGAACTTGAACTGACCTTTGTACGTATAATGCTTGTTTGTGCATGATCAGTATTTTCTAGTTAATATCTAAGATCACATGTTAAGGGTTTACAGAATAAATTTATATCTTGTGCTGAACACTAGTCGTGTTTTATTCTTACTTCATTGTATGAACGCACTTGATTTAATTTCTATTAATTATTGTTCATTAATAAACGGACATTACAACAATTTCCATTTGTCTTCTTGTTGATAACCAATGATGTTTTATACAGGTTGTCATTAAAGATACTGGTTGTATAGCATCAAGACCACTGAGTTGTTTCTGTCAGGATAATTGTACTTGTTTTGACCCAGTAACAACAACATTCTGTCTCCAGGTAAAATGGAATTTATTTGAATGTCATATCAATTTAATTTTAATAATTGGTCAATAGACATGCTCAACATTTTTTACGGCATAATTTAGAGCATTGCATTTAAAAAAAACGAGAAAAAAAACAACATTTTATGGTGCTATTTTGGTCTTTTTTTTTTGAAGACATAAAAACATCTCTTCTAAGTTTAATGTAAATTTAATTCAATGACATTACAAACAATAAATAATTAATCATAATGATGGAGTCACATTTGCTTTATATATATATATATATACTAATTGACAATATTTATAATTTAAGAACCCTGATAATACAGCGCATCCACAGAACAATGAAGATAATTCACCGGTACAGGTATGAGTCATATTCTTTCAAATAATAATTTAAAACATAGTTAAACTTGTTCATTGTTTAAAGATTACGTTAAAATAGAAAATTTAAATGAAAAATAAAAACATCGCCGTACTGTACTGGATCTAAAATAGAAAGAAATACTTTTTACCATACAATTTTATTCTGATTAAAAATTTGCTACTTCAATTTGAATATGCATGGCATTTCACTTTGATGATAAAGTAAAAAATTCTAACATATTTAATTTCTTATAAATGTATTTAAACAGGAGAACATACTTCAACTGCCAGCATCATTTGATGAGTCGCTAGTTGACAGATATTGTGTTGTCAGTTATGACAGTTGCCCATATCCTGGAAAGATACTGGATGTTGATGATACAAGTTTGGAGGTGTCTGCTATGCACCGGATTGGCACCAATCGTTTTTTCTGGCCAATGGTTCCTGATGTTATTTGGTATGGCCACAACAAGATGGTTACTATGCTGGAGGGCGAACCAAAACTTGTTACAAGTAGACACCGTGCGATAGACAAAAGAGTCTGGGATGCAATTGTGCTTAAAATGAACTTATAAGTCAAGATTTCTGGAAACTAAAACTAAAAGAAAGTTGATGTGTGAATGACCGTTTATAACGTTTAAAAATTGATGAATTATTTTGTTCATGATTTAATAAGTTAATAAAACATAGTGAGTTTTAAAGTAGTTATATTGTTTTTACATTTTAAACATATATACAAATCAAATATTTAGTTTCCTCATTGATTTTATTTCTTTATTTCTGATGCCATATTTTTGTCATTTGGGGGTCACTTCCACAACATCATTGTTTTTGGTTATTTTTCACAAATTAGTCAAAGATGTCTTCAGAAAACTAAGCTATTTAACTCTTAAGTATCAGGGAACTTAAGGATTTAATTTTAAGTCCATAGTAGCGAAATTTGTAAATACAAACTAATTATCTAACTGTTTAAAGTTGCGGTAATGACACAACATGAAAACCTTGTTGTAAATATGTAACTATATGGGTTATGAATAAAGAAAGTGATTATTGTAATACTTAATGTAGTTGTTTTAAATATGATCCTTATTGTTCGGCATTTATATCTAAATATTTCTACACAAATCGGTTTTAAAAAATGTTTTGGTAATGACAAGGTCAACCAACTAGTTAATGTTAAAGCTATGTAATTTAAAACTAATAATGTTTATGAACGGACATATATATAAAAAGGTCACTGAAAAGTTTAACTTTCAATTTCAAAAGGATTTGATGACAAAATATTACTTTATTTTATTTTAGTTCTGTACTCTGAAAATGGCAAACATTATAGAATGAACCATGTACTCTTTTCTTTTTAATATTTGTGTTTTCTTTATATAATTTTAGAAATGACTTGGCTGATATTTATTTGTTACTTGCAATAAAAGTTCTGCTCTCTTCTGATAATTAATTGTTTTCTGATAATTAATTGTTGTCTCCTAATTTTTAAATTTCTTTGTACGAGTATATCAATCTTATGCTCAAACTGAAATTGACAAGGATATGCAAGACCTATTATAATAAAACTATTTCCCTCTCAAAACCATGAACTGATTGTGATGAACAGTATGCATCTCGTATAATTGTGTTAGTTAGTATTTTATGTTATAAATAACTTTGTCATACTCCAAGTTAAAATACAAGCATTTAATTTACACAAACACTTACCAACTATACAGTAACTTAACACACAAGTCTTTTAAGAGTGTAGTGAATTGGTAATATTAATGAAAAGGCCTGTGATACCTGTAATAATGAAAGGCCTGTGATACCATAAATAATCATGTTGTTAGTATTTAGCATCATACTTGACCTATATATGGATACCGTTTGTAAGTATGAGATACATGATCTGATATGACATTATGGAATCTATATATAGCAGATAATTAGTTGTTCTAGAATAGAATAAATTCACATAAATAATCATACTAAATCACTTAAAATTATATGAACATTTTTTCAAGAAAAAATTAATAGCAATACAAGAATGTATCCAAATGGCACATTTCTATTGTTTTTATAAGTATTCTAAATGCTTAAGGAAAAACTGTGCTCGTTGTAGACCAACCCACTTCAAATTCTTTCACAGGCATTATAAAATAAATGTAATTTAATATAAATTATGAGAACCAACATTTCAGTGGCTAATGAAAACATACTGGTTTACACATTCTCAGCAGCAAAATTTTCAGTTTACGTAATAAAAAGTGTATAGTTAACACAGAGAATTACTGAAGGGCTGGCGGACCGTACCAGGGTGGACCGTATGTTTAGACCTGTCCCAAAATATGACCCGTCCGGTCCAAACATACGGTCCTACGACCAACAGAAAGCATTTTAAAATCTTCCAATCCCAAAGATTTTTTTTCTTCTTGTCAGTTAATTTGACAAAAAATTAATGTTTTCATTTAATGAAAATAGATAAAAATGGTATTCGTTAATCAAGAAGCAATTAAATGTTATTATTTCAAACACGTGCATGAATGTTTACCATATCTATCAACCAACAGTAAGTTTCATATACCTGGCCTGTAATTACTGGAATGAATATTCATTTGGCTCAACATTAAAATAAAGCTGAGATATCCATGATGGCGTCAAAGGTGGCGCAAAATCAAATCCCTAAATATTCTAGAATATGCATGTTGGCTAAAGTTCTCTTTTCAGTTTCTGTATATCAAAGTCTTTTTTTATAAACATTTCATATTTAGGTTTATTGCAAATTGGTCTAATTCTTATCACCAACTGTATATTGTGTTCATGGGTTTGAAAATACGTGAATTCTTGAATGACATAATCTAAGGGGAGAAATTACGCACGACCAATGGTTTTTGTAAACGGAGTTATCTCCCTGAGGCAAGAATAAGAGCCGCTCAAGCCGGTGGTAGGGGTGTGAGGGATATGTTGCAATTTTATTTTTCTGTATTCCTCATGTACAAACTCAATCAAACCGGCCGAGTCTGCAATGTTCATATTATTTTGGTGTGATTAATGCTTGCGAGTGATCACCCTTCCTCGAGATTTCTATAATAGTCTTCACAACAGCAGGTGTCGAGTGTCGTGTGGCAGCTGTAAAAGTTCAACTTCATTTCAGATTTGTTATATTTTCTGGTCCTTTGGGATCATTGATTCCAACACTTTTTGAGGGAGTACCTTTATTTAGTTGTTTTTTTTTCGAAATTGTACGTTACTTACATAACAATATGAATTCTTGAGACTTCATATAACAGAATATAATATTTTAAAATAAAAGACTGTTGAATCAACAGCACAATATGCCTGGTTTCCATTTGGCATTTTTGGCACCATAGTTTGCATACTATTCGTCTGACAAAGTAAATATGTTATGTAATATCTCTGATGCATATCATCTGATTATTTCAAAGATATTGAAATATTTCTCATTTTCATAGCCAGATTTTACACTGTAATAATTTAATTTTAGTATTTTGGTAACTGAAAACCCTGTAAATATTGATAGACACAGCATACAATGTCCATCATTTATGAACTTAATTAAGGCTAAAAAATAAAGTAAACAACGCAAATTACGTTTGAATATAATATTTTAATCGCAATGTTAAATAGTTTAATTCCAAAATTCTTTTATCTCTGTTCATCTATTGTCCTTTATCTGTAGAATTATCTGAAATAAAAAAATATATTGATAAATCGTAAGAAATCTGCGATTGTTGTTTACACATTACCATGGACTTTAAGCGAATGATAAATGAATATAATACATACGTTACACGTAAATAAAATAAGTCATAAGGTTTTCAGTAAAAAAATGTTTCATCAAAAAATGAATAATTATATACTGCAGGTTTCGTGTTTCATTAAAAATAAAGTTTTGTTTTAAAATAGTATTGATTAGTTACCTTGAATGAATTCCACTTCTGCAATAGACAGACAGTATACCAAATGGCGAATCATCGTCATCGTCATCAATGATTACTTCAAGTTCTTCAGTTTGAACCTCAACTTGTTTACTGTCGTTCTTCTCCATTGTCTCAACATTATCAAAGAAGACTTTTTCGGGTGTATCATCATGTTTTGCTGGCTTCAATTTGTGACTGTCCAAATCTTTTACAGCAGGATACTTGGTGTTCAAATGCGATGATGTGATCGCCACATTACAAAAGCAGTCGTTTTCGAATAAATCAACGTGTTTGACTGGCTTTAATTTATAACTGTCCAAATCTTTTACGTCAGGATGTTTTGTGTTCAAATACGATGATATTGTTATCATGTCCATATCTGTGGTCGTAGCTGTCAGAGGTACCCATGGCATTACAACTTCTCTTCCAAAATAGAGTATAGGAGTAAAATATAAACCAAATATAGACAGTGGTCTTGTGCATGGAACTTTATTGTAACGCAAGGCGAGGCTGAATATTCGTTTAAAGTCAGAAGCCTTGGAGTTTTTGGTGTCCAGTGTCATTGGTCTTTTTGTCACGGACTTTTGTGTGGTTTCACGACACCTGTTAACAGGGACATGCTCCCGTTTACTATTGTGATCGCCAAATTTATATTTTGGTTGGCTCATTAGAACAGACAGTTCTGCCGATTTGAATTTCACTTCATAGAACTCTTTGTATATTTGCTTTCTATTTAAACCAATAAATGGAGATGGTGCAAGTAAATATGGTAGTAAACAGCTATTGATCAACTTCTTTTGTTTCAAAGAAAGGAAATACGCATTGCTCGTATGTCTCTTTTGGAGTAAGCTTTGCATGGGCTTTATGTCGTCTGCTTTTGTTTGTGTTATCAGCTTCTTGAATGTTGGCTCACCAGAAAGGTGAGATGTTGAAAAGGATGAAATTTCGCTGCAGTGAATGGTTTTGGAATCACGCAAAATAACATTAGATTGCATCTGGGAAATTAAAATTTCATATTCTTTGTGTTTCGCTTGTTGGCCATCATCATCAGCAGCAGCATCATCATCAGTAGCATCATCATCATCATCATCATCATTATCATCAAGACTTTCTTCATGAACTGGACTGGTTTGAGCTGGTGTGTCCACTGAGAATTTTACGCTGACTTTCGACATTTCTTGATGACGAAGGAAAGCGTCAACACTATTACAAAAAGATTTGTATGCATTGCTGATCTTGGGAGCTTGTCTTCTAGCCAACTTTTCTTCCTTAAACTGCTTTTTTAAATTCTCAATGATGTTGTTCATCCGATTTTCTATCGCAGATTTATCTGGCATCTCTGGTCGACTCCATTCAATATTCGCCTCGTCTTCTTCTTTTCTCTTTTAATCCTTCTCATATCAAGAATGCTAGTGAATTTGTTGGACAACTCTGACTCTATCTCTATTTCTGTGTTCATGTTTGTACCTTAAATATAATGAAACAATGCTTGTATATTAAAATCTTTTCTCATCTTCAAATAATATTAATGTTGAAATACAAATCATATTGTTAGCTATAATTATAATAGCGGAATATAACATTAACATCTTTATTACCCTTGCAATCCTTAAATTATAATAATGTATGCTACACATCAGGTCATTAATTAATTCATTCAAATAAATAATCATAAGTACTCGTAAATATCAATGAAAAGATAATTCAAAGTTAGATGTCAAGTAAAATTATCATAAAATGTATAAAATAAGTAGACTGTATAAATGATG